AGGGGGGGGGGGGGGGGAAGACTTCCCTTCCCTCCACCCTGCAGGTGTTCTGCTGCCCAGGTTGGTTAGCCTTCCTGAGATCATTCCTTGAATAATACAAAGTCTCCTGGGAGCCTCCCGGTGCCAGGATGCTCTGGTGCCAGCTGCCAGGCACTGCCTGGCCGGGTGCAGCCCACCGTGCAGGAACGCCCCCCTCACCCCAGAGCCAGAGCCACCCAGGCAGAGCCTGCTTTGCCCACCTGATAAACAACCCCACAGCAGGTTGCTCTGGATGCTCTTGCTTTGAGCCTTCTTCCTTTTGCCCAGGACTGGAAGTCTTCTTTTTTCCTCAGGATTTGGCACAAGGGATCTGTCGGAGAAACCTGTGACAACAGTACAGCATCCCTAAGGATGCTGCGGGCTCAGCTGCTCTCAAGGGCTTGGGCTGGACCAGCTGCCGTGACGTGGTTGCACAAAGGACGTGTCTCTCCTCACTCCAGTTCCACAGGTATGCCGTGGGATACAAAAAAAAAAAATAAAAATCCACGGACAGACACATTGACAGGCAAAAGCCCTACAAGCACAGCAGCACGGGCAGTTCCTTCTATTTCTCCTCTGCTTTCAGTAGCTGACATGCTCCAAATTTGTCCACTTACGGAATTGTTTATCTGCTGCTATTAGTAAGGTTTCAGGTTCCTCCTTTCCTTGTGGCAAACAGTGAACCGTGGAGCCAGGTGTCTGCCCAGCCTGTATCCCATCTCTCACCGTCGCCAGGCATGAATGCTAAGGAAGAAAATGTGAAACAGCACATATAATTATTCTCACCCTGTAAGCAAATTCATTCCCACTAAATGTTTCCTTTTCCATGTCTTCTTCCCTTGTGGGATAAGCATTTTTTTTAACTTGTTCACCATTCTCAAGCTTATGTAATTTTTGACGGGTATCTATGTGCTTTCTGGTTGCATCATGATGACCCCATGCTTTTTTTTTTGCGATTCAGACAGGTTCAGAATGAGCCTTGCAAGGTGGAAGCACGTCTCAGCCCCAACACCCACTCCACGCAGCATCGCACGTTGCTGAGCCCACTCGGTTCCTCCCGCGTTACAAATATCAGCACAGGAGCTTCCTAACTGCGTCTCCTGCTGCTGCCGGCTCCGCAGCTTGGAACAGGTTAGGTTCCCTCCTGAATTCTCTCGTTATTAATATCACAAACCAAGCTGTTCTGAGAGCGGTGTCCCATTAATCATTTTAGCTCTGCTGCAGTTTTCACCTCGCTTCCTCTTCCTGCGCCTGAACAGTCTTCAATAACGTTTGACTCTGTGGGTAATGCTCGGTTAAAATCAGCGAGTCTGCCAGGGCAGGGAAGGACCCTGACCTGAGCAAGCCGGGGGCAAGCAAAGGCGGGACAAGGATACGTCCACACAGCCACGGCGGCACTACGGCATAAAAAATGTGCTACACCAGCTGACGGTGGTAGGGACTCGAAGGGAAGAGAGCTACCCCCATTAAATCTTCGCCTCTAAACTTGAATTTTCTGGAGTGCTGTCCATACTGGAGAGACACAGGGAAAGCAAAGATATCTAATAAAATACAAGGGCAGCTCAGCAGCTCGTGTGAGTCAGCAGCAAGGCGGGTGGCAGGTCTGGTCAGAGATTTCCGATGCCTACCTGGGCTCTGTTTGTGTGTGAGGGCACCGCTTCCTTTCGCTCTCTTCCTTCCTACGTTTAATCCTGCTGTGTGTTACAAGCAAAGGTCTCAACCACTCTGAGTATCTACCTCTGGGTTACCTAACAGAGGGCCAGAAGTTGCTTACAGAGCATCTTCTCAAAAATCTACCTCCAATACCATCCCATTGCCTGAAATTCCTGGAGGCCATATTGCATCTTCTTAGCTGCTGAAACCCAGTAACACAGCAACCCCGCAGCTAACTTGAACCTTCCCTCTTACATCCAACACCCTTTCCAACTTTCTGTCCTTTGCCATCATCTTTGCCCCCATCAGAGGTGGAGACTTCATTTCTTTTCTCCCTTTGCATTTTACAAAAGCCTTTCCCTGAGTGCTGGGCCGCATCCAGCAGCATCCATTGGCGCCCAGCAGCTGAATAGGTGCTCAGCCCTGCAGCGTGAATGCCACCACGCAGGACCGAGATCCGTCCCGAAGCCTCCCACAGCTGCACCCTTTTGTAGCTGCCACTTTGCCGGCATGCTGCAGCTTTCATCCATGAGCAAACAACGTTTTCCAGCAATTTCTGCTGAGTCAGAGAATGCCTCCGCGAGGGCTGCTGCTTCTCCACGTGGGAACGTGCTTCTGGGGAATAATTACAGAGAGTTTAAACAGGGACATTCGGCAGCCAAATTGCTTCACATCCAGGCTCCTGGCCAGGAAGGCAGAGCCCAAAAGCTGCTCGTTGGCTCTGTGAGAAAATACCTCGCACCTGCGCCCATCATGGGCGTGCATTGCCCGTGGGCTAAGATCACTCCTTACGCGGCAGCGCCCCGGCACTCAAAGGTGTGCTCACGGCTTGGTGCATCCGACAAAGCGAGCTGCTCCGCAAATTAGCCAGCTCGCACTTACCGAGCATCCCTGTGCGTGCCGTCTTCTCCGGACTGTGCCCACTGAAGGATTTTTACACCCCACCCCCCCCACCCCACCGCTGGATTTGGGAACGTGCTGCGCGGCAGAAAGCCGATCCCTGTGAAGCTCTGGTTCTGCAAGGGAGATGACGGAAGCACACTGCTAGTAACTTTTCTCCCCCTAAATTTTGAGGCATATTTTAAAGTTGTGAAACATATTGACTGTGAAATAGAGATAAGAACTGGAGTAGACACAAACAGCGTAGGCGTTACTCCTGGTTTTTTGCAACTCCCACTCTGTTGCAAAAATAGTACAGCAAGGAGCACGCTGCTCCGTGCCGTCCTTCAGGGACCAAACAACGGTGCGACCACGTTCCTGGACATCGGCGGACTGAACGAGAAGCAGAGCTGGGACGTAAGGCACGTGCAGAGGTGCTGAACGCTTCACCTTCCTTAAAATCGATGGAGAGAGATCTTACAAAAAAATCAAATTAAAGAATTTTCAATATTATAGAAATATATAAAAAGTAGTGATATCGTTCCAAAGTGCTGCAAACCCACGTTGCACTGAGCTAGAGCACTTTACATCAAGAAAAGGGGCAATGGGAAGCCACAGCGGGGGATCACCGCATCCACTTAGTTTCTGTTCACATTGCACACGACGCACCCAGTCTTTAGACCACACCTGTGCCATAATTCCTATGTGCCCTTAATTCTTTTGCAATCTAAACCTGAGCAAAATACACTTAATTAGGTGCAGACCAGTTGCAGAAATCAGATAAGACTTGCTGGCAGGCAGCACTTCCAGGAGATGCATCTCCTGACGGATGGGGACGTTGTGCAACTCGGGGAGAGCATCACCCAGCCGTGGGCTGGCGGTGGGGAGAACACTTGCAATAAGACGCGAAGGTGTCACCTCGGTGGAGGAGAAACTCACGGACGATTTCAGAGACGGCGGCAGCGGTGGCTTTCTGACTCGGGGGATAGTCACCAGACCTCCCACGACAGGACGGGGTGAGTACCACCGATGCTTCTCCTAAGGGACCCAGGAGCGGGGCAGCGGCACGATGGGGATTTGCAGGAGCAAGTTACCACCTTGCACCAAAACCTGCCTCAAATGACCCTCCTCTGCTCCATTTCTTGCTTTTTTTTTTTCCCTCCAAAACAGAGAGGGAGATTTCTCACAAGCCTCTCAGCTGATTGCTGAGGCAGGGACAGCACTAAGGACGGAGGGGTTTGGCTCCTTTCTAGCCCAGGAGGCATTTTAGGCAGGAATTACTGCTTTCACGGCAATTAGTGCAAATAACGACTGCACAAATGGTGGAGAGGTTTGGGAGAGGCTGAAAAGGTTCTTCAGACCCCAGTTTGGGGGAGCCACAGGCTACGGTGGCAGTGCCTTGCCATAAGTAATTGTATTGATTTACGACACGACTGTCGTTAAACACATTTGCTTGCACACCCTGCGCTGCAGTTGAGTTTAACGGGACAAGGGGCTGAACACAAAAAAGTGGGTTAAGCTGGAGGAAAAAAGGGCGGAGGAGTGGGCTTTGGGTTTGGAGATAAAGTCAAAAAAGGGGGAAAAAAAAGTGTGTTTTCTGCCAGTTGTGGGTTGTCTCCTGCAGTACCAGGAGTTTGGGACCCCTTGAGCACACAGTGCTGACCCACTCCCAGCTGGGGCGGTGGTGGCCCTACATTTTGGGGTGAGATTTTGCAGCAACAGTGGGGAGGACCGTCTGCTGAGGGATGAAAGACAGCGTGCACATGCAACAGTATCCATGGCGGACGACCCCTCCCTCTGCTTGCCCACAGCCACCGGCATGGACGGCGATGACACCGTAACCGCTGAGGTCTGCAAGGAAGCTGACGTTGGGGATGGAGAGTGAGTACCCAGCAGGGAGGAGGCTGAGGCCCGACATGCAGGCAGCAGGGGTGGCGTTGCCATGGCAAGAGCCGCCATGTTGGTGGCCACCATGTTGGTGGTTGAGGCAGCGGCATGTCAGCTGCGAGGCACGAAATGTTGACTCCCTGGGGCACCTACCTCTCTGCCTCTCCTGCAGGTTGTGGGAGGTGATGGTGGCCGGCTACCCGGTGCTGCTGGTGAGGAACAAGAAGGAGTTCAGCGCCCTGGGCAGCAAGTGCCCCCACTATGGTGCCCCGCTCTGCAAAGGTAAGCCTGGGTTGGGCAGGGGGGAGAGGCCATGTCAGGGAGGTCAGCTCTCACCGCTTGGTTGTGGGGTCTTTTCTGTTGCAGGAGTCTTGAAGGGGGAGAGGCTGCGCTGCCCCTGGCATGGTGCCTGCTTTAACATCAAAACCGGAGACATTGAGGAGTACCCGTCTCTGGACTGCCTTCCCTGCTTTAAGGTGACTTCTTGTCTCTTCCTCCTCCCAGCTTGGGCCATGTCCTCCATACCACTCAGGTTCATTCACACCCACAAGCTCCATCTTCCTGACGCCAACTGAAAGGACCCTGCCCTGGCCCCGGCTCCATGGTCCAGGTCACACATGGGATGATTTCTCAGGATCACGTAACTCCCTGTCCTAAAGCTCCTTTGATCAAAGGTGATGCCATACATTCTGGTACTCATCACAGCCAGCACAGCTCTTTTGGAAAGAAAAAAAGGAGTTACACCTCTTCCTGAGTGCTCTTGGGATGAGGAGAAAAGCTCATGAGCTCCTCAGCATCATTTGACATCCAAGATCCCTACAAGTCACTCTCAGTGTATCCGAGACAGATGGCCCACTGGACCAGACCCTCCCAGGAAAGCTCCTACCACAACCTCATGAATGCAGAACTTAAATCCACTCTCCTTTGACCCCTGCAGGTAACAGTGAAAGATGGAAAGGTGTTTGTTACAGCAAAAAAGAAGGTACTGACCCTACCTGCTGTCACTAAGCACAAGTAGCACCTTGGGCTAGGCCTGATTTCAGCATTTCTCACTTACTTTCTTCCAGGATCTTGAAAGCAGTCTGAGGGTGAAGGACACAAGCAAGCGATGCCTTCTCAACCGGGACACGATGCTGCTTCTAGGTGGAGGTCAGTGAAGCGGTCTGTACTGTGCCCTCCCCACAGATGCTGTGAGCTGCTGCTCTCTTCTCCAGGGAGGACTTGCCTTCTTCTTCCTACTCCTTAGTGACACATATGAGGGCTGAGACAAACATCTCTTGTAGGTGTGGCTGCCCTGGCATGTGCGGAGACGCTTCGCCAAGAGGGCTTTACTGGAAGGATCATCATGGCCACCAAAGAGAAACATGTTCCATACGACAAGTCCAAACTGAGCAAGGTTCGTACGTGAGAAGGGCAGGACCATGCCCGGGTACCCCATGTGAATTAGGGACGTGGCCCACACTCAGGACCAGGCTGAGCAATCGAGTGAGCCCTTCTGGCAAGAGCAGGAGTGCTGAGGCACCCCACAAGGAAAAGGGGTATAATTTCCAGCTAACGTCTCACTACTTCTTCCCAGAAAGTCTTTGATCAGAGTCCACCATAAGCTAATGGTTTTATCCCCTTTCACCGAGTTCTTCCCACTAGAGTTTGAGTTGATGGGTTTTTCTGAGGGAGGACGAGATGATGGGGATGGAGCAGTGTGGAGAGCTGTGATTTACTAATGCAAAATTTACCTCTTATACAAACTTACTTCCCAGTAAACACTGCAAGAGTATTTCTGGCTGCAAGAAGCGCTTTATTTCATATTTCTGTTTTATTTCCAGGAAATGAACTTGAAAGCTGAGGACATGTACCTGAGGAAACCTGAATTCCTCGCTGCTCATTGCATAGAGCTCTGGACAGAGAAAGAGGTACAAGAGCAGCTGAGCTCAGTCCTCAGTGGGTGGTCCTGTCCCTGCCGTGGGGAGGGGATGCCCACCCCTGCAGGAATAGCGCTATATTTATAGAAATTAGGGCTCTGCCTAAGTACATGCATTATCTTCTGGGACAGCACTCCAAGGCCAGTGCTAGGGACGGTGTGTGTGTCTTGGGGGTGACACTGATCTGTGCTACCTGTGGACAGATGTGCCCATCACTTGCAAAGAGGGTGACCTTTGAAAGTAGCCTTCTGCACATCCCTTAAAGGAACCCACATTTGGTGCTGTCATACTTAGTGCACCTCAAGCCCGCGACCTGTAGGAAGTGAGAGGACTCCAGCATTCCTCATCTCACCTGGGTTTCCAGAAACAGGGCATGCAGTCACAGGCAAGCCGAATGGGTTGATGTGGCAGGACACCAGAGGTATCTATCTGATCTTTGCCTCCTTTCTCCTGCAGGCAGTGTCGGTGGATTTCCAGAAACAGAAGGTCCGCTTCATGGATGGGTCCTCTCAGAAGTACAATCAGCTCCTCATTGCAACAGGCAGCCAGTGAGTGCACACAGGATGTGCCACACACAAAATTTCAGACTGGACAAGAGGGCTTGGAGGTTTTCCAGAGGCATGTGAGAGGGAGGTGGTAGGAGATGAGATAAAAGAGCAGGATGGGACAACACAGCCAAGAGACTGCATGGATTTGTGCTCTGCCCCCACCCCCCTTCTTTCTGTTTGATTTCTAATCATGAGATATATCTGGATTCTTCCATTCAGCTCCAGCTCCCTCAAAGTCCCAGGTGCAGACCTGCAGAACGTGTGCATTCTCCAAACCCCTGAAGACTCTAGCAAGATCTTAGAGCTGGCAACTGGGAAGAATCTGGTGATCGTAGGAGCTTCATTCGTAGGTACCAGGCTAGAGTGGATATCAAGTCGTCAGTGATAGTCTTGAAACCCACTTCTGCTGCGCGTGCAGATTAACCAGAGGCCCTCGGGGAAGGGATGTTCATTCACTGCCTGGCTGGGTTCCTCCCGGAGCCCTACAGCTGGTGGGGGGTGTGCGTTACACAGCACGCACTCACTGTTTCCTCCGATAGCCAGAAACTTTGAGGGCTATAAACAGTTCTTGGACATGGACAGAGGGAAATGTGCCCTATGAAAACATCACTGTCCTTCAGAGGAGCTGGACTCCCCAGAAGCATTGGGGAAGTGAGGGGGTAAGGCACAGAAAGGGAGCTGGTTTGTACACAACCAGGAGCTGTTCTTTGCATTTCTGAACGCAGAACAAGGGGGCTAAATACCTCAGCCCAGAAACGCGTAGAAGAGCAGTTAAGCACTGGCACTACATCAGATTTGTTCTCCTCACCTGGAAGGGGAAAAGGTTTCCAAGGAGGAGGGTGCAGGTTCATGCTTGCAGCAGTTACCTTGAGCATGCCTTTCCCTTGCAGGAATGGAGGTAGCTGCCTTCCTCTCAGACAAGGCTGGTGCCATCTCAGTGGTGGAAAAAAAGGAGTTTCCTTTCCAGAATGCGCTGGGTCCTCAGGTTGGAGGTGTTGCCATGAAGGTAAGGAAAACCTGGTGCTAATGCCTAGGATGGACAACACATGCTATCCAAGCTGCCCTGTGATCTGCAACAGCCCAGGAAATCCAGCCCCTGTGCTGAGTCATAACCCTGCGTGCCCAGCCACCTTGTTCACATACAGCTCTCCGAAGGAGCTCTGCTGGCCCCAACCTCCCCCCCCCGCCCCGCTCCCCAGCTCAGCATCATCCCCAAGCCCTACTTCATCCTAGACCCACCTCATGCACCAGTCCTGACCAGGACAGCAGAGCAAAGCCAGGCTCCCTGCACCAAGCCGGGGACTCAAACGAAACCTCTCTGCAGCCTGGAGCAGCAGCTGAGCTGCCTGCCTGGGTTTTGGCTGGGGACGGCTGTTTTTACAGCAGTACAGCCTGGAATTTCCTAGTGAATACTCAAAGCAGCTTCCTCTTCCTTTTCAGATGCTGCAAAGTAAAGGGGTGAAGTTTTACATGAAAACAGAACTGTGTGAGCTGAAAGGAAAGGATGGAAAGGTCAGTCGTGCCATTGTGATCCTTGAACTGCTAATTTTAGGGGAAAACCCCCCCAAACCAAGGTATAATCCAGTGCCTACATCCAGGCTTTCCTCTCCCACGTCTAGACCCTCACCTCTGTTTTCACTGAGCCCAACTCTGGGCTCAAAGGGCACCAGTATGCGTTCGTATCTCAGGGACAACAGTATGATTTTCTCTTACACTCCTGGCAACACACATTAGTTGGACAAGGTGATCTGAACCTGGGGAAGAAAAAAAGACAGCAAAGAACGAGGCAGCAGGGAGGCTGCAGGAATTAGGACAGAGTTTTTAACCCTTTGTTAACGATTCTTGCTTCCACCCTAGGTCACAGAAGCTGTTCTTGCCAGTGGAGAGAAACTACCTGCAGATGTGGTAGTGGTGGGAATAGGTAAGAGACCCCAACTGGGAGAGGGACGCAGCTTTAGGAACGGGGAGAACAGCCAGCAGGCCCAGAACATCACGGTTCATTCCCAGGACACCATTCCCTGCAGTCTCTTTCCCACTCTGCTGTCATCCTGCCCTCCCTCTTGGCCCCAAACCCTGGGGAAAGTCAGCAGCCCACGAGCAGACAGTTGGCAAGAGGAAAGGAGCGACTTACGCTCTCAGCGTGACTTTGGCACGCTTGCTGAGCTCCGTAGGTCACTGCTGTGTCATCAGAGCATGCCTTGTTCTGGGGCCTGGTTTTATTGCCCCTGGATTAGCTCAGCACCAGCCCGAGCGCTGGTCACACAGTGACCCTGGATTAGCTCAGCACCAGCCCGAGCACTGGTCACCGCTGCGAGCTGCTCTGCTCCGAGCAGGCACCACGGGCACGTGCTCGCTGTAGGGCCAAGGCCGAGCTTCCTCCCTGCCTTTGCGGAGCTTTGCTGCATTTGTCCTCGCTCCTCTCCCTGCAGGGGTGTTCCCCAACTTGGCATTTCTGAAGGGCACGTCCATCGCCAGAGATGAGAGCGGTGCCATCCTGGTGGATCTGGTAAGCGCCCCCTGAGCATCCCCCGTCCACACCCAATCCCTTCCCTTGGATCGTTGTGCTAATTGCTTTTTCTTCCATTAGCGCATGCAAACCAACATCCCAAATACCTTTGCTGCGGGGGATGTGGTCTCCTTTCCTGTAGCGCTGCTCAACGGGGACCGGATCAGCATCCATCACCAACAAGTGGCCGAGGCCCATGGTGAGACAGCGCAGCCGCCTTGCTTCCCAGCTCCCCTCAGAGATGGGCACGGAGGGAATGGAGCAGAAGAGACAGCAGGATAACAAGAGGCAGGGGACACTTCTTTGAGGACTCTCGAGAGAAATATTTCCTCTGCTGGTTCATCACAGGTCACATTGCTGCCTTAAACATGCTGAAGAAAGAGAAGGAATTGCACACGGTTCCCTTCTTCTGGACCACGATGCTTGGGAAAAGCATCCGCTACGCAGGTAGGAAGGGGCAGAGAGATGGGAACAGCCAGACAGCTTCCCAGCCCCTCTGCCCATCCACCAGCCAGGTCTGGGGCTTGTAAACACACAGCGGCTGCAGAGTTTAACTGAAGCAGCTCAAGTTTTGGACTGGCTGCCATGGCGAGTTTGTGAACCCTGTTTCTGAGCTCTGGGCCTGAAGGTAACCCAGAGCTCTTGTTCTTTGCTGATCTCCGGTGGCTTAGAGGTCACGAAGGAGGAAGAACTTCCCTCTCCAAGCCAAGGAGAGGCTCGGGGTCAGTTCTGCTCATCCAGGGCCCCCATGCCTGCTGCCCAGCCCTGTCCCACCCCCAGC